GCCTTTGTGAAGGGGCCCTTACAAAAGTCTCTTCTCAGAGATGGAGAAACACACAGGGTCAGAAGAGGAGCTACCAGCCAGACCACAGGCTCTTCTGGTGCCTAATGTTAGCTTTTCTGCACACTCCATCCCCTCTACTTCAAGACCAGCTCGGGTGCTCACTGTGTTTAAGGTGCAGAATCTGCAGTGGGTACAACGTCTTAAAATACACACAGAGCCCTCAAAGACCCCTCCTCTGGAATTTAATCCAATTCTGGAGGTAACAGAATTGTTCAAAGCGAGCAATCCCATGAGGCTAGAGGGCAAGTTGGAGGAACTGGCTCCCTTGAAAAGTGGCTGAGGAATAATTTTTAACTATCCTGCAGACAAGATGAAACAGAGCCCTTTGGCATTTCCTGAAGTCAGAGAGAGGGACGAAGATAAGTTTGAACCGTGTTGCCTTCTGGATGTTTGTGTTTATACTTATACAGCTCTGGGCTGCTCTCAACCTTGGTCAGAGAAGCCTCCTTTTGCAGTGGGCAGGCAGCAGCCAGGGCAGACACTTCATTGGTCAAAGGGCTGATAATAAGAGACTGAGCGCTCAGCCCTAAACAGGACAACGGGACATCTTTATCAACTCTCCCCCTAAAACCCAGAGCTCAGGGAATGTCACAGGGGGTGGTGGAAAGAATGTAAGAGGTGGACGGTGGGGAGGCGTGCCTCAAAACACTGTCTTCTGGACATGAGATAGCCATGACTCACGGCAGCTGTGTTACACAGTGAGTCAAAATTCCAGCGTAGACGGGCATGTGCTCTCTAGGCCTTAATGAAGAGCTGTTGGTACTTCTCCATAGCTGCTGGGGGAGAGCCATTCTTTAGCCTGCTCCCACCTCGAGGTTTCCTGTGCTCCAATGGACGGCCGTACATCCATGCACACAAAGGCAGCACTAACTGGTTAGTGCATTACTGGGGGGGAACATGAAGTTCAGAGGGGACATGGATGGAGTTGAAGGATGGAAACTGGAGGTGGATATGATCCTATTTCCTTGTATACATGTATGAAATTCTCAAGAATAAAGAAAATTATGAGTGAAATCAATTTTGATCAGTCATTCAAAGAAAAGTCTGCGGGAAAGGGCAATCTGATTCTGAGTGCACAAAACCCATGTACAGGGACAAGGGGAAATGCACGGTCAGTTCCTGTCTCTCAGTGGCAGATCTCTACCCTCCACCGAAACATGCATTGCCCAAGCAGCAGTGCATGTTGAATGTCCCAAATGCTGCCCCGTGGCTTTGAGCCCTCATTCTATTTGGGTCGAATCATCAAGCCATCATTGTTCTCAGACACAGGCATTTAGGGGTTTTCAGGGTGAGCAAGAAGGAAGGCTGGGAAGAGGTGGGTGGTTTCAGATACCCTACTCAAAATGTTGTAAAGTAATAGAAAGGTGGTTACCTGCTCCAACAAGCATTCCCGTTCATCGATGAGCTTTTTCAACCTAACATCTGAAGAGATCAGAAAGACACAGATGAGTCTGTATCTGCCCTCCCAGCATGTCACTGACAGAATAACATAGATCGGTTAGTGGAATGAGTGATGGAGGTAGTTAAACACGTACCACGATGAATGAGGCCACAGACAGGATGGGGAGGAGCTCAGCCAAGGGGTGGTGCCAGCCTCCCGACATGCTTCTCATCAGGACAGCCTCCGGCTCATGCAAACAGGCTAATCTTCTACTTAGGCTAGCATGCAAGAACGCTAGGGAGACAGGCTGCTGCAACACAAGATCTCACAGGCTTCACGGTTTAGCAATGTGCAATGTTGCCGCTCACGAGCACCAAAGTTTCAAGGAGGGCTCTTTCCAAGTTCACACTCCATGTCTAGTTACCTTTCTCACTAAGGTCAGTTTTAACTCTGTTTACAAACCACAAGCCCAATGACAACATGTACACTAAGCCAGTCACAGTATGCTGTTACCTTTCTGAAGAAAACTCACAGAAAATCACAGACTTTGGTTCCTGAACGTGTGTGTGTGTGTGTGTGTGTGTGTGTCTGTCTGTCTGTCTGTCTGTCATCCCCAAATCTCTCTAAGAGAGTACTAAATACTCTCGGGTCTGCAGGGAGAACTGAGGCCGAGTCAGAATTTTCATATTTAAAGGCAAAAAGCCAGGATTCTGGGCACTGACAGTGCTGCTGGATGCCCATGGGGAGGGACACCGTTGCCACTTGCAGGGGCCAGGGTCCCCATGGGCAGCCATCTTGTATTTTCCTTCTTTCAGAAGCAGGGGAGGCCCAGTGTGACTCCTAATGCCTCCCATTCCTACCATGATCTTGTTCTCACACTGCTTCTTTCAGAATTCTCCAGAGAGTAAATAATTAACTTTAATGAGCCATGTGTTAAAACCCACGCACATAAACTCATCTTTGTTTTCATTTAATATCATCCAGGCACGCCCTAATCCAAGTTATTGGCATTTACTAGCCATCTTTGAAAAAATGTTTGAGCTGTTACCCAGAAAGGCACAATATGGCAAAATAAAAGCCAACAGAAAATAATAATAATAAAATAATAATAATAATAATAATATAGTTTTCTGAGATGGAGAGAAGGTTCAGCGGTTAAAGGCTAGGTTTACAATCAAAATGTCAAGTTAATACAGTTTTCTGACCCTTTGGTATTCGACTTTAACACACAGCCCAGTGGCTTCTGCTAGGTATTTTATTCTTTCTTTTCAAAAATCTACCCAACCATGAAGCAATCTTCCCTTATGCATTTTAGCCTCATATATAAACAAACACCAAAACCTATCATTGCGATGAGCATGGGCAGTATCATAAAACAGCCTTAAAGCTCATCTATCAATTACACAATGTTATGCTTTTTCCTCTCGACTTCAAATAACTTAGACAAGCAGCAAAACATAAATGGCAAAGTGTAACAGAAGTCACGGTGAAAACCAGTGCAGGTGGTCTGAACTTCCGTTTTACAGAAGAGAGCATGAAAAAGGGGTACTCAGACTGGAAAGAAGAATTGGAGAGGCAAACGAAAACCAAAGCACCGAGAAGAAGGAAAAATAAGAGATGGTTGTATAAGCACATGCCTGAAACGCCGGCTCTGGGGAGCTAAGGCATGAGTTTGCTGAGTTTGAGCCCAGCCTGAAGTACAGAGGGTTCAAGGCCACACCCTTAAGAAAAAGATAAAGAGGAAAAGTGAGGTGCTTGATACCGACAGAGCAGAATGAGCCTGCTTAACTTCCTGTGGAGAGTGGGATGCACTGGTACGCTCTGTGCCGAATTTCCCTACCTTGACTTGGTAAACAGCAGGCTCACCGATCTGCAACACTAGCTGCCAAAACGACACAAGCTACTCACTAAATACAGCGACTCTAATTTTCAGCAATGAGGCGCCAAAACAAGAGAACTCACATGATCCTGAACTTTGGGCTTCTTTTGTACTCATGCTAAAACTAGTTGTCAGGCTATTAAAGTTACTTTGGGATCATTAAAGGGCTTTAAAAAAATCTGGCTTGCTTATTTATTTATGGCAGGTAGTGATGGCACACACACACACACAGACACAAACACACACCCAGGAGGCAGAGGCAGAGGCAGGAGGATCTCTGTGAGTTCCAGGCTAGCCTGGACTACAAAGCGAGTTTCAGGCCAGCCAGGACTGTTATACAGAGAAACCCTATCTCAACAAAACAAAACAAAATTAAAATATTAGCAACTTTTCTGCTACACAGTTTTTAGACCCAGCAAATGGGAAACAAAGAGTTAGAGACTTCTAGAAAATTCCAGAGGGAGCCAAACAAGTGCTGGAATTCTCCAAGCTCCTGGTTTCTTTGTCATCTTGAGGTCCACCCTTGGGTTACTCAAAGTCAGTCAACCCAACCCCATAATTCTAAAAGGTTTGACTCACATCTTCAGCAGGCAAAGGAACCCTTCCCAGGTCTAGTGGTTTGTTCATAATACATGTCTGCAATGTGTACCTCAGACTGTGTGGGGTAATTTCAACCATCATACCTTCCTCTCCATTGCCCAAGAAAGTTATCCCCTTTCTGTACGCTCAAATGTGATGATGATGGGGTGGGCAGGAAGGGCACCAGCTGCCTGCCCCTTTCCCTGAGCCCCCTCCTGAGCCCCAACTCTGATGGAACCTATCCATGTTAGCTTCCACCTTTTCTGAGACTAAAAGATGGCTGTTCAACCGTGTCTCTCTGCTAGTTACAGCATCTACGGGATCTGCTTGGTCAGGGGACGATCCTCCTGCAGCCACAGGCCATTATAGCCAAGAACTGTGTAAGGGGCAAGAAGGTGAAGGGGTGAGTGAAATGCCTCTTTTTCCTGGCCACCATACCGCCCCAACACAGGAAACACCCTTCTCACCTTCTAGAGGCAAGCCACTGGGAATGCATTTTACCATGTGCCCCTTGGCATAGAAAGTATGTGGAATGCTACACAGCATGGCCTCTTAGGAAGGGAGAAACTAGCAGAAAACAAGAACCTTAAGCCTGTTAACCCCCTAGAGGTAGCCTTCCGGAGTCTGAGTGAGAGCAGACATTTGGATTGACCTAAGCTGGGACCACTGACTGCAACCTTCTGGCCCTGCAGAACTCTGGGGTACAGCCTGCAGCCAGACTCCTGTTTCATTTTCATGGCACAGGAGGGGAGCATGCATCAGCTCACCTGACACATGCGCACACACAGTCAAGTTTTCTTCACCACCTTTACGCTCTTCTACAAAGAGCCCTATGCACCAGCACACTTTAGCAGAGCAAACAAAGGCTTTTACCAGTGGGGGGGGGTGGGGGAAGGGGAAGCACATGGATGTGTCCACAGAGTACACCAGATGGGCTGGAGACTGCTCTCGGCTTCCCAGTGCCATGGCGTTCACTTGTCAGTGATGAAGGCACTGAGAACTATTTTTTTCTGGAACCCCCCGCAGGGAGCTCAAAGCCAGAAGTGACTTCATGTGGACGCTATACAGGGGAGTCAGAGATCAAAGACCAGAACCACAGGCTTGTAAAATTATAAAATGTTTTTATTTCAATTCTATGACACTTCAGTTTGCCTCAAATTTTACTGAGGGTTTGGTCTTTGTAACAGTAGTATGAATTCACATGATCCCATAACATGTCAACAGTAGTCACACAGCACATGGCCTTGTGATTTTATACCTACCATTACTTTAAAAATTCAACTTTACAATAATTTTTTCCCCTAATGCTCTTTATATAGAAAATACATTATTTCCTTCAGGCAGGTAAAATAATAACTTTCCAATAAGAAAATATTGATAAACAACAAACAAAATATTTATACCGAACACAAAATGTTGGATCAAAATCTAATGAGTCCTGTGCATAAGAACAAACAACTTTTTGTATTTTAATAATAAGTAGACATTCAGACAAGAAGATAACTTTAAAGTTAAAAAAATTTAATGACTCTTTCCCCTAAACACTAAAGTAGGAAATATAATTTCAACTTGTCATTAACAGAAAAGGATAAAAATAAAATATTTGTATAAAATGAATTTAGCATATCACCTGTGTGAAGTGACAAAGATATCTGACAAAATTAATTTGGGTACCACTGGCAATCAAATCCAAAAGCATTGGTGCAAAATGCAGCACTTACGTGAGGTAAAGGCACATAGTCTCTCTGTGGTTTTTGAGAACTGTTTGAATCCCTACAGTAATTAATCTCTACCCTGAGGTGCAGCTCCTCCTCTCTCCCAGTGACCTATATGCTACTTATTACCCATCTTGCTCCTTTAAATATAATAGCATACAGGTTATGATGTACATATTAAGCTCAAACATGAAGATACATCTATTTTACTGAGACATGTTAGTTTGACTATTCACTGCTCACGACACAGAATTCTAAGCATGTTGTTTTGGTCAACTAGATGCTGATACATTTGGTCAGGCACAGCCACATTCATCGTGGCCTGAAGCAAATGGTTAAGTTTCGACCTGGAATGCAGACATGACAGGGACATGGTGTCACCTGATGCTAATGGAATGCTCTCAGCTAGAACTGAAAGTGAAAATAATGGTATCCAGATGATCAATGGTTGAATACAAATCTACAAGTAACCGTCTATAACTTAAAGTAGTTGATACTTGATTGACACGTCATATGTCGTGAACCTGGACAGTGAAGTGGAAGGATGGAATTCTTAGGTTGGGCTTAGTGTGCTGAGTCCTTGGCCCTCTCTGGAACTCAGTCTGCCCCCGTCTGCCTCCTCATGACATGGTGCAATCCTCCTTATTCTTGCTATTCTCAACCGGCCCTCTTGCCTGCATTCCGCTCTCTGAACTGAGCTCCCCTGAGAGGTCACTGTTGTCTACGCTGCAGCCATCTACAGCCTTCTCCACGGTCTGGCCTGGATGTTGGGATAGCACATGCCCCTCCTCACTTCCTCTCTGAGAAGCATCATTAGCATCCTTTGGAGGACCTTTCTTTTTCGTCGGGGAGATCTCCCTTTCTTTGCACTGGGGACTGCTCTGATCCAAGGCATCCGCGGGACCGTCAGCATCATGGTCTTCCATTTCCTCACCCTCAGCACTGGTGCCCAGCGACTGCGCTGCATCCGCCTTGTTCACCGACATGTCTCCATCTGCTGTTTTGTTCCCTGCCTGGGTTTTTGCACCATCTTCTCCCCCTTGGTTCTGTTTTCCATTAAACTCACTTTCAGGATCTTCTAGGCACTTGACACATTCACTGCGACCTGCTGTGATTTTTTGTTCTGGATTTTCCTTCTCTTCGCTCTGGGTTTCTGCTGCCTGGCTTTTGTCAGGTAACTGGATCGGCTCTTCCTCCTCCAGGTCACACGCTTCCGTGTTCTGATGGTTTAACTCTTTGCCGGCATCTTTGTGGGATTCCACTGCGGCTGGAGATTTCTTCTTCTTGTTCTTCTTCTTCCTGTTCTTAGTCTTCTTCTGTGGTGAGTCCAAGGCCCCTGCCTGCTGCTCACTCTTTTCTTTGTCGGGTTCTTTCTCATCCAGTGCATGTGTGGCATCTGTGCTGCCTGGGCTTGCTGCGTCCCGATGGTCGCTCTGCACTATGGGAGCCCCAGGGGTGGCCTGAACTTCTGCCTGGATGGGCTTCTTGTCCCCAGCCTTTCTCAAAGGGTTTTCCCCGCTTGCCGGTGGGTTCTGAATGAGGGCCTCCTCTGGCTCAGCCACTTCTTGGGTGAGTTCTCTTTCCAAGCTCTTCTGTACCTCATCATTCACACTTCCTCCATTGTGACTCACGGCGTCTTCACTGCCCTCCAAAGGACCGGAGGCTACTGTCCCCCCTTGTCCCCCAGCGGCAGCTACCCCTGCCTGTACTGCATTCTCTGCATGGTCCTCACCTACATCTCTTGAGTCTGTACAGCTCGCCTTGTCAACTTCAGATGTTTGCCCCAAACCTATCGAGTTTTCACTTTGATTTTTGATACCCAAGGCAGCGGGTACAGACTCTTCATTGTCTGGACCTCCCAGGCAGTTGGACTGTCCCAAGGAGTTTCTGGTCCTACCATCTGGCTGGTCTGTGACCTCACGTGACTCGATCTGCTCTGGGTTTTTGAGGAGAGACGTGTTCTCTTGAGCTTGGCTCTGAACCTGTAGCTCACACTGGGCCCCTGCTAGTGGTCCTGGGGACAGGGCACTGTCTTCAGCAGGTTTCTGGTCCTCGGCATCCTCACCGGAATGTGACACCCCTTTGTCCACACACTCCTTTACTGGGTTGGATCTGGGCTGTTCTTGGTCAGTATTCTGTAAGGATCCTCCTCCTTTCCCCATATTCTCCACAGTTTCCTTTCTCAACTCCACTTCTTTGGCTTTCCCTAAAAGACCATTGAGAAAATTGAAGGGACCCCATGATGTGGTGGGCACTTAATATATATTAAAATGCAAACACATGTTCTAATTACCACCCAGTTTTCTCCGGAAAGAGAGAGGGGACAGAAGAGAGAGGAGAGAGGAGTCACCGGAAACAAGCCTTTGTCAGGCCTATGTGTCAAAGCAGCAATTGCATTAGCTTGTTTTTGATAAGCAAAAGGCCACCGCCACCACCTCCAAGGCCAGAGTGGCTGTTACCATCTGGTAGGAACTGACTTTTAAAGGTGAGGTTATGATTTAACTGACGGGGAGCGCTGTGGGTCAGGCAGGCAGCCACACGAAGGTTTTCAGAGTGGATTCTAGGTCCTCCTTCTGTATCCCTAACTCTAGACGCTCATCGAAACACCCACACTCTCAGTCACTCAAACCCTATGATCTCACAGTCCCAACAGTAGCCTTCATGTTTCCACAAAACAACATTCACATTCAGAAACTGGCTGGAAAGCCAGTCTCAAGGAAGATGCTTGTGGAGTAAACCCTACAAGGCAGAAAGCAATCCACATTCCACTATCTGGCATTGTCTCCTTTGGAAAATGCTCTCCTCCAGGACAGGTTAGCCCTTTGGTCCCCAGGGGAGTGGTAAAGAGCCCCAACAAAAGGAAAGCTGAAGATCAAGGTGAATACTTAACCCATCCATCAAAAGCCTTATCAATAAATCCCCATCCTGTTGGATATTATCTTACTGGAAGTGAAAGCCTGTCAATCTAAGAGCTTTGTAGTCTCTACAGTTGAGCTCTGACCCCAGGAAAATGGCGAGAAACATCTGTCCTTTATTCAGAGGCAACTTAACTTGACCCTTAAAGATTTTCTACTATTGCATATTTAGTGGTGTATACTTTATGTTAAAGAAACATCAGACACAGGTAAATTTAAACTGGGAAGTTCCCACAGCATTCCATTCATTAGATAGATACTACATGCAAAACCCTTATAGGCCACTTACAAAAGTCACATGAATATTAGGGATGTGTCAACTGTGCATGGAGATAAGAGCAGCAGGGCCAGTTCCCAGTGGGACAGTCCTGGAGGCATGGTGGAAACTATGGGATCTTTCTGTTTTGGTGGCTCAAACACTGACGAGAGGACATTGCTTTGACAATCACAAGGGGATAGGGAACAGCTCGGAGAAGTTGGTGCCTACAGGCTTCTACATGGGCACAAATGTATACAGTCACAGACCTGCCTTGTAATAAACTAACAACTGGATTTATCCTAAAACACAGAATTTAAGTCTCATTAATTTGTGAACATTTGTCTCTGAAAATTATAGGACATATTCCTATGTCCATTAGATTTCCCAACTGCATATTCTTATAGAAGCTAACACTGTATAGAGTAAGGTGGGTGGATTCCAACTCCTCTGGGCACCACCCCACTTACAGCAAGGACCACTCTCAATACCAAGGCTGCCTTTCATTATCGGGGTGGGGACAGCAGCTTCAGGATGGCACCTGTCCCACTCAGGAAGCTTATGCCCTCTCCAAACGCTTATGTGGTGGGTGCCCAAGTGTGCCAGGCTGGCAGGGAAATATGGCAGCTAACCCACTTCACAGCCTCCGCTGTTCCTACCCCTGGACAACTCCATTACAGGATCAACTTGACAGCCATAGTTAGAACACGTCCAGAGAAAAGCCAAACCGAGCTCTCAACACTATCACTTGACTTCCAGCCCTATCTCCTCCTACTCAGCCTCGAAAAGCAAAGAAGAAATGTGTTCTTGAGCCATCGGTGGAAAGCGCTAGACAAAAATGCATGCGACACAGCACTGTGGGTGATCACGTGGTTTGGTCGGGACACTACTATGAAGTGACGGAGAAAACGGCATGCCGCGTGACTGTTAACTACCAGTGGCAATCCTAGTGCACAAAGGCGAACCAATGCTGGCCAAACAATGGAAGGAACCAAAGAGAAGCTCTTACCAAGTGTCCCCTCCCCGGCTGACTTGAGGGCATTTAATTCTTCCTTTGTCATCTTCGTAGGACCTTGATACCCAACGCCATTTAGTGTGTCTGAAGTTTCTCCGTTGGTGGCTATTTCTGAATTTAGGATTATTCCATGTTTCTGGGAGCAAAAGAGGTTTAACATAGTACTCAGTGACAGCAGGTTAAACGATATTTTATGAATTATAAAGGGATGTTATCCCCCCCCCCCATGTGAAGCTGACTCTACAGGGGCGGAGCAGGGTCTAGGCACAAAACATGATCTATCAAAAGAGCAGATCTACGATGGCCTCCTCCTTGTGTGTTCCAAAACACCAGTGGTTCTTAACCTTCCTTTTAGTACAGTTCCTCATGTTGTGGTGACCCCCAACCGTAAAATTATTTCATTGCTACTTCATAACTGTTATTTTGCTACTGTTATGAACCAGCGTGTGAATATGTGATATGTGACCCTCCCCTGGGTCCTCTGCAATACCCAACCTATTTCTGGTGACAAGAAACTTTAAAAAGGCTTTCTTCTAACTAGGGCAATGACCTGTGGGCTGCCACGAAGTAGAGCATCAGGAAAGCGAACCTTTCACTATAAACTCTGACGTCAGTCTTTAAGAAGGGAGACCAGCATGAAGACAGGAACATGTGGGTGTTGTGGAAGGGCTGAGTGCAGTTTGTACAGAGATGGCATTAGTAGGCTGTCATGATGTTTCGAGTCTTCAAAAGCATCTTTTGTGCCGAGGACACGGCCAACCCCCTGAAAACCAGCTGCCTGCCTCAGCTGCAGAGTACCTCCTTCCTTGTGGTCTACTTGGTTGGTTCCCAACACTTTTTTCTGGCTCTTTGGAGACTCCCAGCTGCTGCACACAGCCTGGACAAGGAGCATCATTTAGGTCTTAGCTATAAGTCTGTATCCTGCTCTGACTTGAACTGCAGAGCTCAGGAAATGACACTGCCATGTCTGGGGACAGACAGAATGTTGCCATGGTCACACCCGTCAGCACCACCTGGACCACCTGCTGGGTTCCCCCTGGCATGGCCCTTACACAAAGTGAAAACTGTCCTACTTTTATTTGGTGAGTAGTCTGATCCCACAATGTATCCCAGACACTGTGCAGCTAAGTAAGTCCTCTGGCAAGAGTCTTAAACAAGGAAGCACAAACATTCTAATGAGGGTAAGAAAATACTTAATAAGTGGCAAACTCAGAGCTAGACATCTGAGCCACTTCTTAGATCTGTTTTGCTTGGAAACACCTGATGGTCCCAGGTGGAAACATGGATGGGTCCGGTATCACATATTTCACGTGAATAGTTTATTGACAGCTCAAATCTATTAACACAAGTAATGACAAAAGCAGTCAGCACCCATGGATGGCCACAGACCCACGGAACTTGAAGTTGTCAGCTTCCTTCCTTCCTTCCTCCCTTCCTTCCTTCCTTCCTTCCTTCCTTTCCTCCCCAATACAGGATCTCTCTGTGTAACCCTTGTTGTCCTGAAATTCCCTGTGTAGACCAGGCTGGCCTCAAACTCACAGGGATCCGCCTGTCTCTGCCTCCCGAGTGCTGGGACTAAAGGCGTGCGCCACCACTGCCCAGCAACCTTGGTATTTTTCATCAACTGCTCTTGGTTCATACCTTTAACTCCTCTTTCAGCTTGACGGTTTCCTCTCTAAGGTCATCTCGTTCACTCCGTATGGAATCAAAGAACTCTTTCTGTCTTTCTAATGCCTGAGTGTGCAGCAGAAGAGAGAGAGAGACAGGGGTTGGGGAGAGGGAGAGAGAGGCACACACAGAGGGACAGATTAGCACAGGCAGCAGGACAAGTAAGAAGCAAGGACAGGGGGCACTGGCATCCAGTGCACCAGCGAGAATGGATGCCATCGGTTTTATGCCAGTCTAGAGCTACTGCTCACACATTAGCATTTCAAAGCAAGGGATGCTACGGAGGAAGGCTGCTTTGTGCCATCCATTTCTATCTTTTGTTTTCTCATTGAAGTACTGGGGACTGAGCCAGGGACCTCACATATGAGAGGCAAGTGGTCTACCACTGTCTGGCACTAGGTCTGTTTTTTTTATCTCATGACGCGGTGCTAGAGAGTTAACAGGAGATCCACGATCCTTTAAACAAGACAAGTTGCTAAAGAACCCCACTATAACTTTAGACATGTTTGTGTCTATGTTCCTGTTCACATGTATGTATGCGCATCTGTTTCTGTGTATAATTCAGAGGACAATACCAGGTGCCATTCCTCAAATACCATCCTCTTTGTTTTCTTTTTCTTATTTAAAGACAGTGTCTCCCACTGGCCCGTAGTTCCCTGATGAAGCTAGTCTGGCTGGCTCAGCAGCGAGCCCTAGGAATGTCCCTCTCTCCACCTCTCCAGAACCAGGGTTACAAATGTGTGTCACCATGTCTGGTCTGGTGACTAAATCCGGGTGCTTGTACTTTACGAGCAGCCATCTCCCTAGTCTATTTTTAGACATTGATTATGAGCATCTGTTGTTCATGCTTGAACACGCACGTGTGTGCTGTGCAAAGGCACACAGACTCTTAGCCAAGGCTTGTGAGTGTGTCAAAGTGGAATGGTGTGGCTTCATATTGGGAACACTTCTGTGCCGCGCCAGATCACCTCTAGACCTGTCTTGGGGCCCTTTCATGTAAGTTGCGACGTTTTAGGTACCATGTGCCACTATGACTCTTCCCATTTATCACTCCTAAATGTGGGTGGGCTGTCTCCTCTCTGCTGAGGAGAGAGAGAGTGTGACGAGGCCTCCCTGTGGAGGTTTCAAAATGGGAACCCTCGGAGCATGGTATGCTGACACCCATAGCATCACAAAACCCCGAGGGAATTCTGGAGTTTGACCCTCCATGCTGAGCTGCCCAGAGCCTTTCTCCTTGCATGGCCTGCGTTGCACCTAGCTCCCCCCCCCCCCCCCAGTGCAGTAGGGAGAGGGAGACAACATCCGACTACACAGCTATGGTTCCATCCGCCTGTGTAAGCTGGGGTAGTCACCATGCCATTCACGCTGTGTCACGTGAGGGTCACATGCGCATCCATGCAAACACGCTTCCAAACCAAAGCTTCTGCAGGAACCACACCTGCTGAGCAGCACACCCCCCAACAGTTTTTCGAAGGCTTGAGACTCCTACCCCTATCTTTTTGTCTTTCCACTCTATCGTTTCCTGAAGATCAGAGATCTCCCTGATAAAACCCGCCTGTTTCTGCTGCAGCTGTCGGATCTCCTGAGGAGAGGAACAGATAGAAAGAAAGCAGACAAAGGGTTGAGCAGAGAGAAGAAATCAGAGCTAGACAACCACGGTGGGGCGGTCTGACCAGCCCCGGATTCAGCAGCACGGCAGGATCTTCTTTTTCTTGTTCTACTCTTAGTTCCAAGAAGAAAGCCAGCCTGACTGATAGCTTACCTCAAAGCCATCACGTACAATCCTGATTAAGTTAAAGAATGAAAAAGCAACCCCGTAAGAGTCATGCTTTGCTTAACCGTAGGACAGCAGTCTGAGAAAGTGCAGGTAGGTGAGCTCATCATTTTGCAAGCATCATAAATTACAGATAATAGTGATGATTGCAATATCACTAAGTAATATACTCTATGGGACCACTGTCATACGTGTGTCCCTCTGCTGATCAGAATGCTATGTGGCATATACTTGTGCTAGTTTCCAATGGCCTTGTAACAAACGATGACAGCTTTCAGGAAGTCACATAATAACACTCTGGTAGTTCTGAGACTGTTTTGAAAGACTCTTCTGAGGAGAGGATCAATAACCTTTTCTTTTCCAGTTCCCAGAACACTCAGTCTCAACCTGTGCATCTCGACCATTGGAAAACACAAATTTCTGATGGTCTTAGGAACTGAGACACCACTCAGCATCAAAATCTCAGTTATGAAGTAGCGACAGAGATAAGTTTATGGTTGGGGTTCCTAAGATCATCAGAGATAATGTGTATTCTGAGGGTGGCGACCCACAGGTCGCGAACCACTGTCCTAAAACCTGCACACATCCGTGCTTTGCGTCCCTTCTTCACAGACTCTAATCTCAATTGTTGTCAACACAGTTCCCACCATAGCATCTGATGTGCCTCCCTCTTGTGGGTAACTTGTGATTACGTCAGAGCCACACAGATGATCAAGACAACCTTCCATTTCAAGGTCTTTAGTCGCACCTTCGAAATCTTCCCTTTTCCATATTTGCTTTTAGGGACTTAGGATGTGGACTTCTCAGAGGTGGGTGTGATATGATCACAGCTCCCAACATACACACACACATGAACATCAGAGTTGAGAACCCTCACCCACGGGAGGAGCCGTCTCCTCGAGGGACGGAAAGTTAGCCTGACCCCTGGACTTTAACTTTAGGGATGGCTATGAACTGACTCCCTGGCCTCCAAGGTGACTAGTGTTTGGAGATAAGATCTTCAGAGACGTTAAGTTATGATATCATGAGAGTGGATCCTAGGTTGGATAGGATGAGTGTCCATATTGAAAGTGTACATCGCTGCTCCTAAGGAGACAATACTGACGGTGGCCCTCGGGGCCTGACCTTGACCTGGACTTTTTGGTCTCCAGAACTGTGAAGAAACCCACACCTGTTGTCAAGGCCACCAGGGTATTTTTTTGTTATAACAACCTGGGCTAAAAGAACAGAAAGGGAAGAAGAAAGGAGCTACCCACCTCAAGCATTTCTTCCCTCTGCCTCAGGGCTTCTTTCACTTCAGCAAACTGGAACTGCAGGACGCTGTGGGCATGCTTCTCCCTCTCCAACTCCTGTGGGTGAGGAGCACAGTGCGGAGGCTGTGGTTCAGTGGCGTGTTTCTCTCACAGGGTTCATGTTCTCATGAGCCATATTTCCCTCAGGACAAACAACCCTTTATTACGCCATCACCATTTCCAAGGCGCACAATGACACAAACTCATTTCTCAGCCCTCCATAGAGGACGGACGATCAGACACTTTCCTCTAAAATTAACCCTCGGATTGTGTGAAGTTGAGAAGTATTTCCCGATTCCTCTCTCATTACAATGTGTCCTAGGAGCCGGGTGGTGGTGGCACATGCCTTTAATCCCAGCACTCAGGCTGGCTTCAAACTCACAGAGATCCACCTGCCTCTGCCTCCTAAGTGCTGAGATTAAAGGCGTGCCCCACCACAGCACGGCCACATACATGCTTTTTCGTGGTTGTTTTTTGATATATATATATATATATATATATAACAATATATATATGGGTCTGTGGACATGTGTGTGGATGCCCACAGAGGCCACAGCCATCAGATCCCCAGGAACTAGAGTTACAAGTGCTGGAGAAACCATCTGACAAGAGCTCTGGGCCCCAAGCTTGGGCTCCTGCAAGACAGCATGCAGTCCCAGCAATGCATCTTTCCAGCCCTGACCTTGGTTTTGGAGAAAGCATTTCTCCTGGTCAGGAGCTGGCTGATTCAGTTAGTCTGGGTACCCAGTAAGCACCATAGACCACCTGTCTCTGCCTCCCAGCTGAGATTACATGCACGTGCCACACAGATGCTGAGGGCTGACCTCAGGTCTGAATGCCGTGCAGCAAGCGCTCTACAGAGTGAGTTACCTCCCCTGCCCTTGGGGTTGTTTTGTTTGGCAGTGGAGTCCTGTTAAGTAGTCCAAGCCAGTTTTGGACTTGCAATTCTCCTGCTTCAATCTCCTACATGCTGGGTTCATAGCCATTGCCACCACGCTATGACAAAGACACAATATTCTAAATCTTGGATACTGGGCTTTGTGGACAAGTGGAGAATCACTGTCTAAAAGCAGGTTGGCGAGCAGGCTCAGTAGCTAAGTGCATATACTGCTCTTGTACAAAACCTGGGTTCAGTTTTTAGCATCCACATCCAACAGCTCACAACGGTCGTAACTCCAGATCTAGGGGATCCAACACCCTCCCTCTGACTTCTGCAAGTTAGTGTACTGGTGCATATATCCCCACCCCCATAATTAGCAAAAATAAAACCTCTTAAAGGATATAAGTACAGCATATTTACACAGGTCCCCTAGCAACCGTGAGCACAGCAACACTTGCCTTGTTCCTCTCTTCATACTGTCTCTGAGACTCAGCCAGCTGCTCTTCCAGCTCCAGCAGCATGTCCTTCAAAGTGTCTACCTGGTACATGAAGTTGGTCTTCTCATTGTCTAGCTGGGCATTGGAGACCATGGCCTTCTTGTACTTCTCCTCAACTTCGGCCAGGGAGTCCTGAAGAAACGAGGCCATCGTTTCAAAATCACCAAAAGGAAAAACAAGCTGAGATTCAGCCAGAGTTCTTTTCCAATCTCAGCCCACTTCTCAACGTCCCTGCACTCAGGCAAGCAGCTTTTCACGGTGGGGAAGAGCAACTGTGTAGCCTATGACTTGCCTGTGAGGAATTATGCTAACTAGGTTAACGGAGGCAGGAAGACCCACCCTAAATGTGGGCCATCCCTGAGCTGGAGTCCTGGCTTGCAAAGAAAAGAGAAAGAGAACACCAGACCCCATGGCCCCTGGCTTGTGGACTACATAGTCACCCTGCCTCATGTCCTGCCCCAGGACTCCCTGCCATGATGGACTATATCCCCGATCGGTGACCCAAGATAAAACACTTCTCCTTTAAGTTGCTTTTGTCACAGCAAAAGGAAAAGTAGCTAACAGCAATCTATCCTCTCGCTAAGACAAGGAGGGGTGTGGGATGCGGAACGCTCAGGCAAGCAGCAGAGCCACTGACTTATCTGATTCAGCAGCAAGAACCTTCCCACCACGGCAGCTCAATGGCTTTCTGAAGTCATCACTCAGTGTGTGGCTTCAGGCTGGGAAAGAGCCAGTCACTGATGGAAATAAAACTCTGCCACAAGCTACTGCTAGGCCACCCTGCTCACGCTTGGGAACCAGGAAAGGATTTGTGGTCGTTGCAGGTTTCTGACTCATGGGAAATAAAACAAGTTACACAGGGTAGGTCTCGGAAAGACCAAGGTCATTTGCTTGAAAGGGCAGTCGTGGGAAAGAAGCTGTAAAAGATAATATCGACAGTGCCCAAACATGGCTCCCACTCTTCTAAGCTACGAGCCAGCCACCAGCTTAAGAGAGAGGTGTCGGCTCAAGTGTCAGAGCTTTGAGGAGGCCCTGTGGAATCTTGCGCTGCCCTTGCTCTGGGCATCCACACCATGACAACCCCAGGTGGTACCATTGGATCCCAGTTGATTCACTGGCCCCACTTTTAGGTGAATGAAAAGCCAGGGTCTTAATGTTCCTGTTATATAGAAACTACCTGCCATGTCTCTGGTGCTTGTTGCTATGGAGTTTAGATGACTTCTTAGGCCCTTTCTGGAGAAATGAAGAAGACGTAACGGCCCTGCATCCACTGTTGGATCCAGACTTGCCATGGGCTCTTTGGTGGCTATGGCTGCCCGTGCCTTGGCACCTGCTCCCTATGGCTCGGCTCACCCAAGCATCATTAAGGAACTGGGAAACTACATTTCCTGTTGGCATGGCGACGCCCTTCACAGTTTCTGAGAGCAGTGCACTCACATACGCTCTCAGACACCATCCCCTAAGTACAAGTTGAGAGCATGCACTAACCTGTATGGTTCCAAAGCATACGTGTTAGTTAGGACAGCTCTACATGAACTTGGCAAAGCAAACAGGGAGGAAGACACTTGTATGGGACAACTAGGAGAGCGAAGAGAACCCGAACTCTTCCAGTGTCTGTCTGCTGTGTTTGCAAAAAAAAAAAAAAAAAAAAAAAAAAAAACCCGAGTCGATGGCTCTGAGCCTAGGGGGATGGTGTTGAGCATCACCCTAGATCAAGCGGTAGGCCGGTCACTTTTTCCACTGGGGACTCACTGGGTTCAGAAAGTGCATTTGGAAGAAGACAGATGCACACGGTGTTAGACTTCCCATGCTCCCCCACTCTCCACAATCGGGGCCCTACTGGGTGAGCATGCACATGGCACTTCTGTGAGGCTTTTTAAGGTTAAAGTGGGTTAGTGTCATGGGCTCACACATCCATAGCCGGTACCTTCATCTCTTTCAGTCCCTGCATGTATCTGCCTTCTACATCCTGAATCTGGTCCTTTAACTCATTAAGTTCCTGAGGGAAATGCACAAAAGGCAGATGATGTCAAGGGGCGGGGGATTGGCAGGGTTCACACGCACACCCACAACTTTCTTATGTCTGGGTCCACTCCACTGTTTAGTCAGTCAGAGACATGGTTCCTTCTTTATTTTATCAGGCATTAAAGAGAAGTGAAAAATAAGTTTCAGCATTATAAAGATAAAATTTTATGTGTAGTTCACACATTTTAATACAATGCTATAAAACTAAGGTGTATCTTATTTTATAATTAAAAAATGGGGAAAAGAGCCAGGAGGATCTCTGAGAGTTTGAGGCCAGCTTGGTCTACAGAGCGAGTTCTAGGACAGCCAGGGCTGTTACACAGAGAAACCCTCAAAAAACAAAATAAATAAGGGCAAAAAGTTGGGGCTGAAGAAATGGCTCGTTGATTAAAAGGACTTGCTGCTCTTCCAGAGGCCCTGGGTTCAATTACCAGCACCCACATGGTGACTTACAACCCTTTGTAACTACAGTTCCAGGGGAATCTGATACCCCATTATTGTCTCTGTGGGAGCCTGGCACACATGTGGTACATAGACATACATGAAGGCAAAAAACAAACAAACAAACAACCCCCCCAAAGCATCCATACACATAAAGAATAACTAAGTAAATCTTTAAAAAGCAACAGACAAACAAACAGGCAAGTGGGGAGTGGTTGGAGATGGCTCAGTGACTCAGAGGGCCTGATGTTTTTCGTCAGTACCCCAGTTTAGTTCCCAGCACCCGAGTCAGGTGGCTGGCTCGATTACCACCTGTAACTCCAGCTGCAGAGGATCTAACACCCTCCTCTGTTCTCTGCAGGCACCCGGCACACATGTGGCACAGGCACACATAAACAAAATAATGATGCCAAACCTTCTGCAACAATGGCTAGTGAAAAGAGTTTAGCTCGTGTCTTCCTACCCCTCAGACACAGTGAGCTGCAGGGCAGACCAGCACATCCAGTCCCTGCACTTACAGGGTCCCCAGTCTCCATCCCGATGCTCTCCATGCGCCTGGTACCAGGGGACAGATGTCTCCTGGCAAACATCTGCCAGGCAAATGAATGGTACTCGTGCCTGAGAGCAGAGACTAGCAGGACTGTGAGGTAAACAACAGCGTTGGTGGCTGAGGATGGGGGTCCGGCACGTGGCACTTTAGGGGAGCGGACAAAAAGCCACTATCCCGGCTTTATACTTATAAAACACGGAAGCTGCACTTCAGGGCTAACATCTGCAGCAGCTGCCTCACTCCCTTCTCTGTCCCGGCAAATGCTATCTGGCTGCTTCGTCATCACCAGTGGATCTGGGTCCCTGTGAACCAGATGTGAGTATGGTGAAACGCTCCCACAAAATTAGCCAAATCCACTCCTTCCAGACCCTCCTTCTTGCTCTGCTCTCTGAAGGACACACATTCTGGTAGCCTAACCTCCATTCCTTCCCTGTTTGGGACACAACTGCTCCAGTTACCTGACAGCCCAAACTGCCCTAATAATTAACAAACAGTGCTGGGCTGTGTCTTTCCATATACTGAGGTCACCAAACGTGGCACCATCTTTGGTGTCAAAGGTTTAACAGAGAATAACGTCTGTACTATTAAAAGGAAAATCACTAAGATGCAGTGACGAAGTCCGCCAAAGGCGCAACAGAAGGGAGAGCACATATTCTAGGCGAGGCAGACGATGCTAGAGGGTGGCACTGGCTGTGGTCCTGGGGCAGGGATACGAGAATATTTCACCATCTAGAACACTCCAGAAAATGAAAAGTGAACGTCTACATTTGTTAACACATGGGGAGAGGTGGCATGGCCCACAGACCATCGAGGACAGAGCACTGATGGCCACAGAGAAGGACACATGCTCCTCCCTGCTTGGGCACAGGCAGGTAGGTAGAGCTTCCCACAAAGATGCTGCCTCAGCTGGGTCCTGTATTAGGAGAAAGCCATGGTTTCAGGAGGAGATGGGACTGACCTGGAACTTCACAAACTAAATCTCTGTAACTACGAAGAAGACTAATCAATCTTCCAAGGGGCTCTGTCAAGTCACAAACGAGCATAGTGTCTTACCTTAATTTCCCTAATGGATGCCTCGGTGTCCATGGAGATGGAGGTATCTCCACTTCCTCTCCGGGAGGAAGTCCCACCCAGAGAAGCCAGAGTGGCGGCAGACAAGCTGGGCATGTTACGGGATCCCTGGAATGAGTGAATGTCAACTGTGATTTGGTAAAACCAAAATTACCAACAAGCCTAACATTTCATAACCTTTTCTCTCATGTGCCATTTTTAGCTTCCACAGATGATCATTTCATATGTGTAAGTAAGTGTTGGTGTGAGATACCTGCATGTGAAGGCTATAGGAGGCTATCCTTCCTCTTTTCATCATTCTCCGCTGAGTTCCCTTGAGGGGAGGTCTCTCACTGAGCCTGAAACTCACCATGTTGTCCAGACTAGAGGGCCAGCTTCAGCATTGGGCACATGTGAACACATCCCAGCTTTTTGCATGTGTACTGGGGATTTGAACTCAGGTCCTTACGTTTGTGCGGCAAGCACTCTTACCCACTGAGCCATCTCCCTGGCCTCGGCACACCTTCTCTTTAACTCAGCTTCTATACTGGACAGTCTCCTGTGGGCCTCTGGCCAGTGTTAAAAAGGCTCATTCAGAGAAGTTTCACGGGCGTTTTGGGCAGTGAGTGAGCTCTTTACTGCCCCTAAGATTGCAACAACGGACCCCTTTGGGGATACAACCTCACGCTGCATGGCCCACTTAGCAGTCTCAGTCTATTAATCACCAAGTCACTGAGTTCAGTGTCACCCAGGACCCTCTAGGTTTATAACTAGCCTGAAGCAGAGGCTTGCAGAAATCCCTTACCTTCTCAGCGAAGTCTTTGTCTGGTCTTTCTTCTACCTATGGAGGAAACAAGCAACAGTCAAACATCTCAAAGCACTGAATTGATCACATGAACTCTGGCATTTGATGCTAAAAAAGAAAAAAAGAAGAAGAGAAAGAAACAGAAAAAGAAAAGCAAACAACAAAACATTCGCTTGCGCTATAATTTAAGCACAAAACAAATAAAAACCTAAACCCTGGCTTTCCGCATCTTCCCTGTGTGCAAGTCTCTCTGAGGCCCTTCCTTCCCCCAGACAGAAGCCTCAGCAGGATGCAGAGTGGGCTAAGAGGTTGAAAGCATGCGTGCATCGCTGCAGAGACCCACCAGTATATGAAGAGGACTCGGAGGTCCTGTTGCACAGACCCAGGGACCCGCTGCCAGCCACTGCCAATGTGTGGGATAACCACCAGATGTGTGTTTTCAGATGTGCAATCTCACTGGCTTGACTGTACGTACACTGCGGAGTGCTGAGGTGGGCCTCAATTAAGACAGTTTTATCTCACAGTCTACAGAGCTGGAGAGCCCAGCTCCATTTTCCTTGGCTGTGTACGTAAGTATGTTCACGAGCCTACATGGAGGCCAGAGCCTGACATACAGTGTCAGCTCTCCACCTCATCGCGACAGGGTCTCTCACTGAACCTGAGGCTTGCTGATTCAGTGGCTGACCAGCAAGCCTAGGCCTCCTCCTATATCCATCTGCCCAGAACTAGGATTTCAGGCATGAGTTGCCATGCCTGGCTTTTTACATGGGATCTGAAAACTCAGGTCATCAAGGCAAGCTCTTTACTGACTGAGCTACTGCCTCAACCACACTCCCAAGTTCTGAGTTCCAAGGATGACTTTTGGCAGGAAATGAAGTCCTTGGGAATAAAAGTATTTCTAAAATACCGTTCAAACGAAAATTTGGGCAGCTAAGGAGAAGTAAGGTAGCGGGCATCAACTCTCCTGGGGAAGCAATTTATTAATTCCCTTGGGCCCAAAGCCTCATTCCTTGGATGAGTTGGTCTGTGGATGAATATTGATGAGCCCGAAGTAGGTCCAGCTTTGTGACGCTGGGATGGCAAACAGATGCACCCTGTCAAGTTGAAAACCAATGGAATGGAAAACAAAACAACACGCTGAAGGGTACATTTCATGCAGAAACAGGCAGCAGCTGAGGTCCCAAGTGATGAGACAAGGACCCACACAGCTGCTGTCCCCACTGGCTCCATTAGATGGCAGCATGGCCAGGTCCGTCTCAGGTCAGGCCCAGAAAGAAGCAGGCAGAGAGCTATCCCCTTTCCACAAAGCCCCAGACACAAAGGGACAGAAAAGCAAACCAGATGGTATCCTTCACTCTGACAGGCAGCATGCCGCTGACAGATAGCATGCCGCTGTACCTCTGAAAATAACATACAAGGGAAGAGAACACATCCGCGGCTGCTGCACGGGCCGCCATGGGGATAAGAGGTGGACACAGCAGGCATATGGGACAGGCCACTACATCTACAAACACCGGCCTTCCCTTTGTGGAAAGGACAAGGGTACAATCATGGGACCTACTTTTTTTTTTTTTTTTTTTTAATTTTCATTCCCCAGTACTCAGTATTTCAGATTAATATCACACTAACAGGATTCTAAATGATGCATGCTGATCTTTAGAGTCACCGCTGACTGTATTCAAAGACATCTCCCAGAATCTACTGGAGCCAGCTGTGGTGGCACATGCCTGTAATTTTAGTACTCTGAGAGGCTGAGACAGGAGGGTTTGAGGCCATGCTGGGCTACAGAGTAATAACTTGTCTCAATTTGCTCTCTGTTTTTAAAGTTTTTCCTCCTGAAGCACAGATCATGGCAATTCCTTCCCTTCCAAAAGCAAGTCCTTTAGGAGGACAGCAAATTTGAGTCTTGCCCACACCATCTCAGCAGGTTTCTCATGAAGATCAGGTTCTAAACACCCATTTGCATGTCATGTCTGCTGGCCCATTCAAAGATAAAGACACCTAAGCAAGAAGAGAGAACCTAGCCTCATGGTCCCAGCTCCCAGACAGGCCACATCAGACACTGGAAGGCAAAGAGGGTCCCTGAAGCAATGTCATTGCGACAACCTTTGCAAAACACGTGACACAGCAAACTCCACTCAGGGAACGTCCACTTTACAGACTGCTTCCCTTCCAACGTCAGTGACAGTGGAGCTCACCATTAGTGTGGCAAGTTTTGGTTTTATTACTATTTATTTGGGGTGTATGTGCATGTGGAGAAGTCAGAGGATAACTCGTCGGACTTGGTTCTCTCCTTCTATGTGTGTCCTGGAAATCATCAGGCTTGGCAGCAAGTGCCTTTAGCCACTAAGCCATATTACGGGCCCTAATTTTATTTTTGAGACAGAATTTATGTAACTGAGAGTAGCCTGGGATTCACTATGTAACCCAAGATAGCCTTAAAAGAACGATGTGCCTTTCTCAGCCTCTCTAGCACTGGGATCAGTCACATGCCACCACACTTGGTGAACAGTTGGCGTTAAATCCACTCTTGTACCCACACATGCAGGCTTGCTCTCCACCTGGATCCTGCCTTGCAACGAGTCACAAGGGTCTTTGTTTTCAAATTCAAATGGGCAAACAGCTGAGCTCAGCACATTTCTGTGAGCGAGCACACAGACAACATGAGCCCTGGTTCCACTCGAGATATTCCTGAAGGACAGATGCTTCAGGACCGTGGAGGCTCTCCTGGATTCCAGGGCGCTGTGAGACTTAGATGAGGGAGATGCTCTAGTGTCACGTGGCTCTGCTTGAGTGTGATTCAAGCCTAGATCTTCAACTCCAGATCCTGCCCCTCTCTAGACACTGCCTTCACTGTGGTATGGCTGATACTTATGTGTGTATCCCGTAAAGGGCAAGGGCAGGTCTACATTGCCCAACACTGTAGACTCATGACCAGAATATTCTAGGTGCTTAATTAGCACTGAATGGGTGAACAACCTTTTCAAGGAGAAGATTCTGGACATAGAGAAGAGAAAGAAAACATGTGTGTATGCGTGCGTGCATGCGTGCGTGCATGTGTGTCCTACTTTTCTTTCTGTGTCCTCTCAACCAAAAGCAACTTGGAGAGGAAAGGTTCTATTTGGCTAGCACTCTCTCTCTCCAAGACACAGTCTATCGTTGAGGGAAGTCAGGGCAGGAGCCTGGAGGTAGGGACCACGGCTAGCTTTCTTATAAAACCCGGGACTGTCTAGGGATGGCACTGCCCACAGTGGGCGGGGCCCTCCTACATCGATCACAAGAATCCCTTATAGACGTGTCCACAGACCAACATGATAAAGACAATTACTCAGTTGAATCACCTTTTGGGTGATTCGAGGCTGTGTTGACACTATCTAGGACTGGTGATAGACAGGTGAAATGGGTGTGGGGGCTGGAAGAAGAGGGAGTGGGGAGCAGTGCCAGAACAAGGCGGTACGCGGTCACCCGCCATCTGCATTGGGACTGATGCCTCTTGGCTTTCCCAAGAGTTGTATCGTTGGGGGCCCCAAGCTTTTATAGCCTTGACTCTTGCAATAGTCTATGGACATGGAGGCACATTCACATTCTTACAAGGGAATGAATGACCACTTCCTTTGTTCTGGTGACTTTCGCTCTTCAGCCCCGACCCTGTCCCATCATCCCCTCAATTCCCTTCTGACAAATGTGAGATGCAGAGCCTTGAGTGCTGCAGCTGACCTTTGTATTTCCTTCTCACCCTTGGTGAAGTATCAGGCCAGAGGGATTTCCCAAAAGCCAATATGGACACTAACAACTGTCGCATATTGTGGCTGAGGCAGCTCGAGCCAAGCAGGAACAAATTGTGCCTTTCAGGTAGCTGTTCCTTCCAGCTTCAGCTCAGGAGTTGTCTGCCTACATGTCGTCAAGCCGGGGGGGGGGGGGGGCGGCTGCAGCATGTGAACCTGTCCTATAACTCCTGCCCCATTGCACATCCTGCTCCATGGGCCTCCTCCAGAGACCAGATGGGAGGGAGGGTCACTACAGTCCTTGTTTGTCCCCAAGGCAGAGGGTGACAAACCCGGCATTCTGGTACCTCAAGAGGCATAAAGAATGCAGCTAGCCCTCACTCCTGTTCTCCAGATTTAGGTCAGTGTTAACACTGTGCTTTCTGCATCCTGGGGTGGGTGGGTGTGTGATTTGGGCTGGCTGCTAACAGAAAGTGTCTGTGAGCGTGTACAGCCTTGCTGGTGGGAAGAAGCCCAGAGGTTCGTGTGTGGACTTGTGGGTCTTCCTGCCTCAGAGGGAGGAGGAAGTCAGGGCCAGGGCCCTGGCAAAGGCCAGTGACCCTTCCATTGAGAGACGAATCTCCTGGGGCTGCCCTGCATTTATAGAGGTGTCCCTGTGCCTGAGAAGCACACATAGGAGGTTCTTTGATCAGTGTGGAGGGACCTGGCTAATGTGAGGTGGCCAGCCTGTCTTCCACACATCTTTGCTCTGACCTTTGCTCACTAAATGAGACAACAGAAACAATGATCGATGGACCTTTGGGGCAACAAACAGGTGACTAGAGGAGAAAAAATGTCTACTCACAGGGGTGAGGGTGACTACACCCCAGAATGGCACACACAACCCAAAGAGATTAGTTCCCTTACCTCACAGATTACACAGACTTTCAATGAATCTCTGTAAAAAATAAACAAACAACCCCCAAAAACCTTGCTTGGTGTGTGTGTATTTTTCCAAAGTTCTCGAAAGTACACACACAGCAATGGTATCTGCATCCGATTTCAGTCTTTCCAATCACAGTAACCACGAATGTTATCATACCATGCTTCATCGTGATACTTAAATAAATCCAAGGGCCATGCCTAGTGATGACAAATAACCCTGCTTTGCCCCACTGGGCAGACGTTGCTCAGGCAGCAGGTGGAGTTGGGGTTTGTTGGGAATCTTTGGAAGTAAAGCTATAAATTTCTTATCTTGGTTGCAAACACTCCATTTCCTCCTCAAGTGTACACTCAATTATTATGCACGAGGAAGAGGATTCTACACTAATG